GAGTTATTTGGATAATACAAGCACATCTTTAACTGTCTGTGTAATGCATGCGGCAGATAAGTGCGTACATACAATCTATTAGAGAACAGAAAACACTCTATCAATCAGACACTAACCAAGAGGTGTAAATTTTAGTTGTTTGAATTATGTCACACATTGTGCATACAGTAAACACATGCCTTTTCTGAGATGATGTCATCATCACCCAGTGTTTACATTAAATATGATGTCGCCTGCTTTAATCAGCTACTGCATGCCAAAGTTTCAGTTATTGGATCGGTTAAAGTTGCAGTTTCTGTTCATATTTCTCTTTTTAGTGTCCAATATTTAGGTGCTTTCCTAGTAGGGCTTCAAAAATTAATGGTTGAAATTTAGAACAAATCGATAATGAAAATAAACGTTGCCTGCATGGAGTTGCCTGCATGTTGTCGTCATTGACAACAGTATATCGCACACATTCAGAAGATTTCTATTAAGGGATTTTCTATTATGAATTTGTCAGTTATAGAAAAGAAAAAAAAACTTATACTGATCAGCACACTGTATCAGAACAGGCTGTAGGACTGTGCCAAATTTGGAGAATGCAGTTTAAAAGCTGTAGGAGTTAAGAATTGAGTAAAGAGTAAAGAATTTTGAATTCTCATTACACTCTTTTAGTCATATATGGGCAGTTTTAAATCTAAACCTCAGTCTTTGGTTTTTCTACCAATTCATAGAAAAAGCATAAATAAAGTCCCTGCCTTTTGAAACCTGCAAGCGGTGGCTTCAAATCATAGCCTTGTTCTGAGAGCAGCTATGCGGTCAGGTGACCTGTAAATGACAAGAGCTGTGCCATTACTGTCTGGTTAAAGATGCTGAATATCAGGTCAATATGCCACATAAGGGCAGCACAGTGAGTTAATGACATGCTGCATACAGTCTGTGCACATTCCTTCAGGCCAGTGTGCTGCTGCTGTTTTTTAATGAAGTTTATTGGTGCTAGTTATTCAGAGGGGAAAATACTCCATTGATATCTTATGGAATCTTGTAAGATGTTAGCGTTAAGACAGGAATGTTGTACAAAGACCCAGTCCAGGCATTTAGAGCAAGCATCTTGTTGATGAGTCACACCCTCCAGCTGACCTGAAAACAGTACTGCTCACTGTGAAGGTGCAGAAGAGTTCAAAAGTCATAATTATGATGTGATGTATGTTATGTTGAAGTAAAATTAACAATTTCACATACTTATTCTCTTTTTCCACTTCCAAACAAAGGCAGGATGATTTTTTTTTAGCACTAGTGTACAGTAGATGTGTAATTATTTCAAAATATAATTCAAAATAATTATTTTATTCATTTGCATTAATTATTTGAGTCTGGTGTCTTTCGGTGTGGAGTTTGCATGTCCCCCCGTGTTGGTGTAGGTTTTCTCCTGGTGCTTCATTACTGTTATACACTGAAAAAAAAAAAACAATAAAATAAAATAAAAATAATAATGGTGTAGGATTTACTTTGAAACAATTTTCACCTGCTAGTAATTTTCACAAATAATTACAAAGAAAGAAGTAACAAAGCAACGCATTGAATTAAACATGAAATGTTAAAGTAGAAAAATGGAAATGGCTTTTTTCTGTAAAATGTACTCCAATAATCTTTATACCAGAATACCAGAGACAACATTACTACAATAGGCTACATCAGCGGTTCCCAATTCCAGTCCTTGCGCCCCCTGCACGTTTCATATGTATCTCTTATTCATATGTTTGTATTCGACCGTAATTCAATTGAATTCAAGTTTATTTGTACAGCGCTTTTCACGATACAAATCGTTGCAAATATATAAATACAGATAAATACATTTAGGCCACTTAACTTAATGATTGCTATCGGGATGTGAAGAGACTTTCAACCAGCATAACAAAAAATGTTTCTGAAGAGAATCACCTATTGCACCTTTAACACGAAAAGGTATGACAATTTAAGACCAAAACCAAAAACTGGACACATTGGGCCAAAAATTATATTTTAAATGTGTTCGCATTGTTTAGAATAACTTAACAAATTCTCAATATTGTAGGATTACTTGAGCCTCAGACATTTTTTCACTTCCAGTTCCATCGTCCTGAAGTCAATTTTTTTTTAAGTCAATTTTTTAAAAATGGGTTTTTGGTTGAATTCTTTAAATAAGGTCTGTGGTTAATACTCGGGGTATTTTCACATTTATTCTACTATATAAAATATATCAGTAAAATCCCCTTGCTTTTTCTTGTCTTGAAAAAGGCGGTTGCTAAAAATTGTCTAAATGGGACTACAGAGGTTGTCGGGACATTACACGTCATCACACCCATCAGAAAAACTCATCTAGTCACTTTCACAGCCTCATTGTTCATAAATGTGCCTTTGTGCCTTAAACTTTTAAGGGAAAATGTTTTTTTAAATAAAGACTGAAGAGTCGAAAGCTTAGTGGTGGCGACATTAAAGTCATGTGACCATGGTGTAGTTTGTTTATAGTCTACACTTAACGTTTTACTTCTGACGATCGTTTTTAGGCTTCGAAATTCATAAAAGTTGTTTTAAACTTAAACTACAACAGGTAAAGCTGTCAGCTGTGTGGACATAATATCGTTAACAATTCTCATTTATAATCGATATTAATATGGCTTCTTGTTATCAAGATATGCTGTGTTCTGTAAATGCGTGAACTTCATAATATTTGTAGCGCACTTGCGGTCCATAATCACAATAAACTTTGTGATCTGTTACCTTTTAATAAACAAAGCATCAGCTTTAAAATTCTGCCAGATTAATAACGAAATTAAAACATTCCGTTTTGGTGCTCTTTAATGTGGCATGAGCGATTGCTTTATTGTAGGGCTGTGCAAAAAATCGAAGTGCGATTTTCATGGGCATCTCGTCAGTGAAGCCGCTCCTGTGATTAGTAGTAAATCTCC